AATGCACAAGATCTGGAGCAAATTCGACGTAGTCGAGGCCGACTTGCTCGCGACAACTTGCCTCAGATGAGAAGTTTTACAGAACGAGCGGGAGTTAAAGTCAGCCCTTTTTATAACTGTTGTTTAGTTGGCTTAATTGAATTAGCGTAATTTTTTTGTGTTGTTTCATGGAAAATCGGTTTGATACTACTTTTTTTCATCCACGTGATGTTATTTTACGTGCTTCAGGAGCGTAACGCACATGCAGGGGACTTTGATGCAGGCTTTCTGATCCCCCCCAAAATAATAAATAATAATTAATTACTGCACTGATCTGATCTGTCAGGGATATAAGAGTGTTGATTTTGAGAAATTTTACGAAACTGATGAGATTTCTTGGTTCAGGCGTGAGGATACGACATGACTGAACATGCTTTGACAGACCTCTCTTTTTTGGTAACATTTTGTAGCGTAAAACTACATGTACTACTCATGCAGGGAGCAACCTCAAATCATACTTTTCCTCATACACCAAAAGCTGACATAAGCAGTGTTTGATGCAGATAATCAGGAAAATGTATGCAAGATTTTGGCAACTATAACCGTTATGATTTCCACTAATTATCCTCAAATGATTACTGTAAAACCACAGGTAGCCCAAGCTCAAAATATAAATGAGCATTAGCATTGTTCTTTCGAAGTGTAATGATTTGTATGGGAAATAAGGGATGGTTGCTGTAATGTATCAATCAAATGGAATCTTCAACATCCCCTCAACAGACATACACCAGGCATTTCACTTCTTTTCTTTCCCATCCTGATTTTTTTGTGTTCTGATTGGTGGGGGATTGCATCATATTTTGCTATAATCACCTAGCTCCGTTGCAGTTGTATTTGCAGTCGTTGCTTCTCTCCAGTTGGGTGGAGAGAATATAAAAGTGACAACTGTAGCCTGTTTAGCATGGCGGTTTTGTTGAGCCGGGCGCATGAGTGGCAAAGCCACGAAATTCATGTGCGAAGCGCGCAAGAACGAGCGGCAAAGCCACAAGGTGCTCCCGCCCCAATCTCCTTGCGGTTTCTCTTCCCTCGCCCGCCTTTATTGCTTAGCGTGCCCAACCAAAACCGCCATGCTACACAGGCTATGACAACTGGAAATAAGTCTGTGTGTCGCTGAATAATCCCCTTGACTTTGGCTATGTTCACTCTATACCATATAGCTTTTGTGTTGGCGCAAAAACCCTACCAGATGTGGCTTCTGTTCCTACGTAAAAATAGTGATTTCAGGATGATTTCTGTAACAGAGCAAAGCTGCTCCTCTTATACCAGATAAGGTTTTCTTGTTGGCATGAAAAGCTATCTGACCATTATAGTGTGAAGATATCCTTTGTTGGATAATTCAGCAATGTTACCCTTATCAAAGACAAATAATTGTTAAAAAGTTTGAAAGTTGCACAACAGTGCTAGCACTTATATTTTAAGCTTGGGTGATCTGTGTATATCGTACACAAAAATCTGAAAACTTTCCCAATATAAGCATCGCACATAATCTCTTTTAGCTGTCTCTTTTGTGTACTTGTTGAATTAATTGATGGAAGGACAGGCAATTTGAATGATGAATAGACTGACTAATTAACTGCTATTTTGTTTTACAGATGGAAGATCTGGACAGACTTTCCATCATCCACATTAGTGGTACAAAGGGAAAGGTATTTACTTTTTTAATAATATTGCAGCCATTCATGCATTTTAGAAGACATAGAGCCTATCTCAGAATAAACAATATTTAGCGTTACAAGTAACAGTGAATACAGTCAAAACATAGTAACATACCGACCATTCTGACAGACTAGGGCTTTTTCTCTTGTCCTGGTGGATTTGTTGTAGATAAAAATTAGTGGCTTTCACAACCTTTAAAGGGAAGGATAAGCAAGTAAGTGCACTCACATAAAATGTAAAATGTAGAACAAGAAAAAAATTGTGAATGTAGAATGCAGAATTTTCTTACTTTTCTAACTTTTTTCCTTTGCTTTTTACATTTTTTCATGTGTATTAAACACATTATTTTGTGCATGTACTTGCCTGTTTTCCCATATAAAACAATCAGGTTCCCTAAAAGCAAAAAAATCTGCTCTCATGTTACACCATTTTTTCCTTTGTCTCCTGTGAATAATTAGGGCTCCCCAAACTTCATTACTGTGTTTGTCACCATTCCCTGGAGATTTTCCTCTTGTTGAATTAAAAACTTTTTTCTTTATTCTAACTGGTTTCTGACTGAAAAGGTCTTGTGTTGTAGGGCTCAACTTCTGCATTTTGTGAGAGCATGCTCCGTCATAAAGGCTTCAAAACTGGATTTTACAGGTAAGTTGCTATCAAATGTTTTGGTGTACAAATGCATTTCACCTTAACCCGTTAAGTCCTCAAGTGACCAACATAAATTTTCTCCAAACAATTTCATTAGATAATCTGGGTGAAAGATAGTCTGCTACACAGCCGTTTTTTAGTGTCGTCACGCAACGCACCTCCCCACTAACGGCTGCTGAAAACCGAACGACGACAGCGACGACTGATTGATTTGTCGAAAACTGAGAATTGTGCTCGCTTCCTAGCGCCCCGCGGCTCTCGTATTGTCAAACTTCTTTTGCATGATTGGCTTGTTCGTTAGACCACAAACACAAAGGGAAAGGAATGTAGTTTGGTTTTCAGCAGCCGTTTGTGGGGAGGAGCATTGCGTGACGACACTAAAAACGGCTGTGTAGCAGATTATGAAAATTGATTAAATGATCTCCAGAGGGACAGTGCTTCAATGATTTCTTATCAAATTCTCTTAAATAATAATTCTTAATGAAACTAGTTGGATAGCTGTCTAGAATGTGGATAGCGGGGCAGAACTGACTTACAGTTTTGCTTTTTGTCTTCCTTTTCCCACTGGTTGACTTTTGTTCAAACAGGTATGTTTTCTGATTATGTGGGGCTGGGTAGGGGGAGGGGGTGAGTAATGCAAAATATTGGTCGTCTTGGCATGTGCTGCTGTGAAGGGTTTGGTTTTCAAGTACAATCTTGGTCTGGGATAGGATATAGAAGTCAGTGAGTCTTTTTTCCAGGAAATTGGTCAGTTGGTTGAAGATTTTAGTCTAAACTAGGAAAACCGCGAATTGACACTCAGCAAATTAGCAGATTTACCCACAACCCATATTAATAACTTAATATTTTACAATGAAAGTATCAACCTCAATAGTTTTGAAAGATAGTGACTCTAGGATAATACTTGGGTAGCAAAATTCAGCTGAACCAGGTGTGGTAATAAGCTGAGGGTTCTGGGATCCCAACAGCACATCCCCTCTAAAAAGAACCTCCACCCCAGGGTGTGTGGCCTAACTTAACCAAGTCTATCCCTGTGATGTCTTACTCCTTCGTAGTGAGCCTACCCTAAGAGACACTGACCATCTACTGTTTTTGTTTCTTGTCTCTGTGTGTTGTAGCTCACCACATTTGATGGAAGTCAGAGAGAGGATCAGAATAAATGGCAAACCACTTGCCAAAGACAAGTTTGCAAAATACTTTTTTGACTGCTGGGATAATCTTCATAATAATGGTGATGTAAGTGGCCAAAAGCTCTTATCCACTGTCCACATAATCATACAAGCTCAGGGTCACACATTTTTCCAGGCTGTCATTTATTATTGGAGGGGTCCTATCTTGTGCACTTCTATGAAATTTACTTTTGGAAAGTGCACCCTTAGTATACAGGGAATCCTTTGTTTTTGGTTCATTTAATTTCTTGAAATTTGCATACTGTTCTGTACAAGTCATATGATTGCTTGTCAACAGCTTAATCAAAACATAGGTCAATGTGGAAAATACCATAATGTTTTTAAAACTGCTGTTTGTTCTTTACACAAACTGCACATGCAATAGCCTGAAATTTCCAAAAATACCATTGTAATCTACAATCTTCAGGTAATAAACTTCTTTGAAGGGTAATGAAATTATTATTATTATTCTGGCCTTCTTTCATGTTAAAATGCAATGGAATTCAGAGTAAGTGTGGGAAGATTGCTCTAGAATTAATCAAGGTTGTTCTATGATTTAAGAAACGTTCTAGTTTACTTCTCTTATCATTTGTAGACAAACTCCTGTGGACAAAAGACACCACTTTTCATGAATAAATTTTTTTATATGCAAAAATGAAACCTATGAGTCAAAGAGCAGCATAGTTTTATGTCTTGAGCTCAATTGATATAACATGAGACTGGAACTGTTAATGTGTCAGCTAATTTTTATTTATACTCATCTTGTAGGATCAGGGGAACACCACTATGCCAGCATACTTTAGATTCTTGACCCTGGTGTCCTTTCATGTCTTCCTCCAAGAGATGGTAAGCTGTTTGATGGAGTCAGTCTGGCTGAGTGGTTAGAGTACAAAGTGCTGGACTTGCAATTTGGAGCCCTGAATCCAAGTCCTGCTCTGAGAGCTAGCTAGATTTTTTCTCAGTAGTCCCGAGTTTAAATCCTGGGCCACACTTGGTTTGCCTTTGGCCAGTTAGGATTCTCGACCCTGTTAAGTTTGATTTAGATTATTTGTTTCAGGCATTTGCTCACCCCACTAGCATTACTGCCATAAATTCTGCTGAGGGTAATTAATGAAATTATTATTATTTGCTAGAACTAATTTTCAAATACAACATAACAGGATTAAAAACCTGAACTGGCAGGAGGCAACCATTTGGCTGTTTACAAACGTGGCCGAGGATTCAACTCGGGACAACCGAGAACAAATCCAGCAAGTGGTTGCAGCGGGACAACCTGGGACCTTCGAATTGCGAGTCTGGCGCGCTGACCACTCAGTCATGCTTCCTCATTATTATATTATTATATTTTTAGGAGAAATTTGATGTTGGTTGGTCTTGGGACTAATAAGGTCTCTGCTCTCATTTTTTCTTGCAAGGAGTTCATTCAGTTATGGCATGATTTAACAGCTTAGCATGTAAAAGTTACACCGTTAATATTGTTCCCTTTGCTTAAAAGGTTGATGTTGCCATTGTAGAGGTTGGGATTGGAGGTGCTTATGACTCTACAAATATTATTCGGTAGGTGCTATAAATAAATGGTAGCAATTTCAGGGTCCGAAATTAACTTTTTAATAGGGGCGCCAACTGGCGATCAAGTATAAATTTTTGGTCGCCAGAGGGCAAATTGTGGTCGCCAAAAATTCCCCCTCCCTTTTTTTCAAATAAAAGTTAAACACGAATAAAAAATGCATGGTATGGGCGTTTTTATGCTCAAAAATTGCACTACTTTCGCTCTCGATACCAGAAAGCAACCGTACGTGTATGAGTGAAGTCTTATTTTTTCCACAAATTACTTCTTGGAGATATAAAGCTATCTAACCTAGAACACAGGAACAGAAAGCTGTCTGCCCATGACTGCACTGATCATATCAAAACTCTATTTTCTTCCGATAACTACCACGAAACACGAAACATAAACACGAGTCAAGCTTGAGTCAAGCTTAGAGTCAAGCCGCCTTGTTGCTCGTACCAGGCCACAACTGTGCCACATTACTCGTACCAGTCCACAAAGTACATAACGTACTTACCGTATTTCAGCTGAAAACAACATGGCGCCTTGGAAACGTTCAACTCGTATTGATCGTAGCTGTTGTGGAGGTATTATTACAACAAGATTCGTTTCACTTTTAATTAAAAAATATCAGCAGGACAAAAAGTAAGACACCTGTTGGCAAATAGCTTTGAGGTTTCAATTCTTAATCAGTTTCTCCGAACGTTAAAGTCCACAATAACAACCAGCTTTACAAGTCGCTAGCTGGCGACCAGCTATGAAATTCTGGTCACCAGGACTAAATTTTTAGTCGCATTGGCGACCAGGAAGGCGCAATTTCGGACCCTGAATTTAATACCTTCCAGTCTGCCTCTCATGATATCCAACAGGGTTAAGAAATGCTGACCTCAAACAAGCTACAATCATTGGATTATAATGTGATTAACCAGCTAGAAACATAATGTGCCAAGGGAATTGTGAAATGTGTTTGTTAAAAGAGGTAAGGTAAAGTGTGACTGGTATTCCTTTGTCAAGGTTATATTTGGAGTTTGTTATATCCATGTTTCACTGTATATACGTAAAGCCTTTGACACTCTGAATCCCTTGAAAACATAACTTTAAAAGCTATTTCTGTTGTCTTCCTTAATAAACAAATAAACTTTCCTACCAGCACCCTTAAGCTCCATGAACCATCATGTGGCTTAACTACCTTGTACCAATGTGCTTTCCCACAGGAAGCCTGTGGCATGTGGAGTAACATCACTAGGGATGGACCATATCAAAATGCTAGGTGGAACATTGGAAAGTATTGCCTGGCAAAAGGCTGGAATATTCAAGGTATTTATTCAAATAAATGGCCGTTGGAACGTGTAAAGAAAGTGGTAACCCACACTTAGTAGCAATGTGATGTGTACACATTGATCCCATGCAAGCGATGCTTATGTTACAGGCCAGGTTGTAACCATTCAAGACAATGTCGCCCAAATGTTGCAATGCTGTGTTGCGCTAATAATAATAAATTTATTGGTGTTGCGAATTGTTCCATGTAAAATCATCTTAAAAGTGAAGTAGGCTTAAAAAGTTACTCTAGTCTCGTCAGTGTATCATAATGTTCATCAGAGTAAATTTATAGGCTGGAATTTATTGTTTTATATGTTACAGTTCAAAATTTTATTTGGTTAAATTGTTTAACCACGTTGATTCTCAATTTCCTTTTAATTTATTGTTTCCTAGCCCTAGTTCATGAATTTTAGGGCTTGGAGACAAAGGAAATTGAGAATCAACCTAGGTTAAAAAAATTTGACCTGTAACACATACACTTATCTCCTTAACTAGCAATACAGAGGGCAATAATAGTTAGGACACAAAGTAAAGGATAAATATATTTAGTATTTGCCAAATCAGTGAATGGCAATATTTGCACATTTTGATTGGCTCCCATAACTTGGAATATCCTTGGCTATTCACTGTTTTGTGACCGGAGCCAAGATGGCATCTCGTTTCGAGACATTTTCAAAAGGCGAAATTTTCGTGATAAATGAGGCAGTTTTACAAACAAATACCTAGAAAACGATGAACTTTGGCTTGTCAGTGTTTACTGGTAGGTAGAGAATTATTTTCATGCTGAATTTGCAAATAAATCGTAAAAATGTACTTGACAAAATCCCGGAAATGTTAGTATTAAAATTACAAACAAAGTTCCTACTAAGTGACGTTTTTAATTTACAAAAGGTTACTTTTTTTCATTTTTGTCCAACTGATGTGGTAAATACTAAAACAACTATCCCTCTCAGGGTAGATGAACAGTGCTAGATATAAACGTTGACGCTTTGGTTCTTGCCGTATATCCACCACTATTCACCTCCCCTTTGGGGGATACTTGTATGATATTTTTGACAGAGCATACACTTACTATAGCCTCTGACAGTTGTTTCTTTTGTAAGTAAGTTCTCCATTCTCAGACCCAGATAGTGTGCTTGCTTCATCTTTGTGTTGTGTATAAATTTGTTAATTTCTCCTTTTAGCCTGGAGTACCAGCATTCACTGTCCCCCAACCAGATAATGCTATGGCGGTCATAGCTGACAGAGCTAGAGAAATTCAGGTATTTTCATTCACAAACATCTTTACATGTCTAAACACTTCTGATTGCATTTCTTGTTTATACTGCATATGATTTGTTAAAA